TGTCAGTGCTTGTGACAAGATGATATCGAATCTAACATTGTCAGTGCTTGTGACAAGATGATATCGAATCTAACATTGTCAGTGCTTGTGACAAGATGATATCGAATCTAACATTGTCAGTGCTTGTGACAAGATGATATCGAATCTAACATTGTCAGTGCTTGTGACAAGATGATATCGAATCTAACATTGTCAGTGCTTGTGACAAGATGATATCGAATCTAACATTGTCAGTGCTTGTGACAAGATGATATCGAATCTAACATTGTCAGTGCTTGTGACAAGATGATATCGAATCTAACATTGTCAGTGCTTGTGACAAGATGATATCGAATCTAACATTGTCAGTGCTTGTGACAAGATGATATCGAATCTAACATTGTCAGTGCTTGTGACAAGATGATATCGAATCTAACATTGTCAGTGCTTGTGACAAGATGATATCGAATCTAACATTGTCAGTGCTTGTGACAAGATGATATCGAATCTAACATTGTCAGTGCTTGTGACAAGATGATATCGAATCTAACATTGTCAGTGCTTGTGACAAGATGATATCGAATCTAACATTGTCAGTGCTTGTGACAAGATGATATCGAATCTAACATTGTCAGTGCTTGTGACAAGATGATATCGAATCTAACATTGTCAGTGCTTGTGACAAGATGATATCGAATCTAACATTGTCAGTGCTTGTGACAAGATGATATCGAGCATTTGGGAAAATGAAAACAAAATTAGTTCATGCACTCATGATAGTCGTTTTAGGATGTCGTAAACATGATAGTCGTTTTAGGATGTCGTAAACATGATAGTCGTTTTAGGATGTCGTAAACATGATAGTCGTTTTAGAATGTCGTAAACATGATAGTCATTTTAGGATGTCGTAAACATGATAGTTGTTTTAGGATGTCGTAAACATGATTGTAGTTTTAGGATGTCGTAAACATAATGGCAGAAATTTAGGGTATGAAGTCGTAGGATGATGGCAGATATTTAGGGTATCATGGCGTAGGATGATGACAGATATTTAGGGTATCATGTCGTAGGATGATGACAGATATTTAGGGTATCATGTCGTAGGATGATGGCAGATATATAGGGTATCAAGTCGTAGGACGATGGTAGATATTTAGGGTATAATGTCGTAGGACGATGGCAGATATTTAAGATATAATGTCGTAGGACGATGGCAGATATTTAAGGTATCAGGTCGTAGGATGATGGCAGATATTAAGGGTATCATGTCGTAGTATGATGGTAGGTATTTAGGGTATCATGTCATAGGATGATGGCAGATATTTAGGGTATCATGTCGGAGAATGATGACAGATATTTAGGGTATCATGTCAAAGGGTGATGGTAGATATTTAGGTATCATGTCGTAGGATGATGGTAGATATTTAGGGTATCATGTCAAAGGATGATGACAGATATTTAGGGTATCATGTCATAGGATGATGGTAGATATTTAGGGTATCATGTCGTAGAGCGATGGTAAAAAGTTGAATTTGTTACTTACCGACACACATCGTCAAGATAACTACAGCAAGTTTCATTTTTCAGTTGAACCAAGTATCTTTCTAAGTGACTCGGTTTAAAATTGTAGGATATATCTCTTTGATAAGAATCTGAATCAATGAGTCAATAATTATTCTTTTAGTTGTATTGACAGAACCAGCAACTGGTAACTTTTTGTTAGTTTGAAGGACAACGCTCGATAGTCAGTGACTGTATCAACTAGAAATAATTTATATTTTTCGTCATTTATAAATTTCGTGACTGAATTGTGTTATATGACAGTGGTTCTCAAACTTTTTTTTATTTTTAAAGACAAGTATAAATTATTTGAAGTACAGCTGGGCCAGTGCCTTATACATTGATTGTATTATTTTAGCTCCTAGCATTTTTTAGGGCTCGCGGGCCAAATCGTGGACCGCCTCTCTGGGTATACAACATACCCTTAACTTTCAACGTGTTTAAACACATACACATACTAAATATTTCATCAAGAAGTTGGCAATAAACTAGATGTCATCTTCAGGTATGAAAAGCCGTAGATGTTCTCTAAATGTCAGAATGCTGAGCTGTACCAGACAAACTTTTCCCTCTCGTAGGGCTTTACCGCCACCCTAGAAAGGCGTGGCTCCCCACCCCTGAACACGACTGTCAAACTAAAAGAGGTTATTGTGAGATTTAAACATAACATCAAATAATTGTATTGCATTGTAACATTTTTTATACCTAGCCATCTAGGGTCCATACCCAGCCATAAGTATAGATCCCTACAGTTGGACATATTTCTAATTACATATTGAAAACATCAACAACAGTGGACCAATTAAAAGTAGTTGATTAACAACGGCTTATATAGTTGTTTAAACCAAATAACAACAGATGTTGCTCTGCCATTTTACTCTATATCCTGTTTAGAATAATTTTGTAGTCTGCATTGAAAGTTGTAGGTTAGTTGCTTGTTGTATAGTTACAACTTCGTTTGTCTAGTTCGTAGGGTTGGCGGTAGGACATGGTTCGTGAGTTGAGATGATAGGTCATGGTTCGTGAGTTGAGATGATTGGTGATGGTTCGTGTGTTTAGATGGTAGGTCGTGTTTCGTGAGTTCCGATGGCAGCTCAATTGAGATGGTAGATGAGGTGGTTCATGAGTTGAGATGGTATATGTCTTGTGCTTCGATTTGACAAGGTGTGTAAACGGTGTGTGACCACAGGGCGAACGTTAGGTAACAGAGGGTTTAAGGAGTGCAGAACGTAATTTTGTTGGAAGTCTTCAATGTTACTTGTTAATGGTGAATAGTTAGTGGCCTGAGGTTACAATGTGTCAGTTGATTCTCAGAGTACTTGTAGTGCTATCAGTGTCATTTTGGTCCAAGCTAGCAGATGACTCTATAGTGTTACTTTGCAGGGTCTATCCCGTGTGAACAAATATATATGTATACAATGGTCCAATTATTAGCGGTCTGTGTTTATGAGAAGACTTGTTACCTCTAGACGATGTCAACTTAAACTACCCCCATCTTCCCCCACCCCTGGTCAGTAAACATACATACTGAGGATATTCATAACACTCTTGTCTCATTTTAAAATGCTTTATTTCATTAAATAAATTGGGGTTCAGGAAAACAAGTTACGATAAAAAAATATGATTATATTTTTAATAATTATTTGGGTAATTTTATCCTGTATAAAGCAAATCTGCATTTTATCTTGTTTATAGCAAAACTATATTTTATCCTGTAAAGGCAAAGTTATATTTTACCTTGTATATTTTTAAAATAATACTTTATCCTATAATAAAGCAAAGGTATATTTTAGTTTTATATATTGCAAAACTGTCCTTTATCCAATATAAAGCAAAGGTATATATTGTACTTGAATTTTGAAAGTATATACTTTATCCTGTGTACAGCAAAGTTATACTTTATGTTGTATATAGCAAAACGATATTTTATCTCGTATACAGAAAAAGTATATTTTATCTAGTTGAAGTCTACATCGGTTTGACATATAGATAATATTAGTAAACATGATTTAGTATGATGGTTGGTATATATATATGTTCAGTTCAGATAATACATTTAGTTCAGATAATACATTTAGTTCAGATAATACATTTAGTTCAGATAATACATTTAGTTCAGATAATACATTTAGTTCAGTTAATACATTAAGTTCATAAATTATATTTAGTTCAGATAATATATTTAGTTAGATAATAAATTTAGTTCAGATAATACATTTAGTTCAGAAAATACATTTAGTTCAGATAACACATTTAGTTCATAAATTATATTTAGTTCAGATAATATATTTAGTTAGATAATAAATTTAGTTCAGATAATACATTTAGTTCAGAACATACATTTAGTTCAGATAATACATTTAGTTCATAAATTATATTTAGTTCAGATAATACATTTAGTTAGATAATAAATTTAGTTCAGATAATACATTTAGTTCAGAAAATACATTTAGTTCAGATAATACATTTAGTTCATAAATTATATTTAGTTCAGATAATACATTTAGTTAGATAATAAATTTAGTTCAGATAATACATTTAGTTCAGAAAATACATTTAGTTCAGATAATACATTTAGTTCATAAATTATATTTAGTTCAGATAATATATTTAGTTAGATAATAAATTTAGTTCAGATAATACATTTAGTTCAGAAAATACATTTAGTTCAGATAATACATTTATTTCAGATAATACATTTAGTTCAGATAAAAAAAATTAATTCAGATAATAAATTTAGCTTAGATAATACATTTAGCTCGTGTAATGCCTTCACTGAAGGCAATGGATACAATTTGATGTAATGTGTCAAAATTGTTTTTTTTAAAGTACATTGAGTAAAGTTCAAAAAAAGATTTATCTTTGCTACATACAGGATAAAATATCATTTTGCTTTTTGAAATATAAACTATAGTTTTTCAATATACAAGATACGTTTATGCAGTCTATACAAGTAATCTTTGATATGCATAAAGGGTTAGATAAAAGGTAGGTACTTCTAGCGCGCTTATGAGACTCCCTGGTATGTAATTATAATCTTTTAATAGTCATCAGCTCGTTAATGTAGAATATCATAAAGTATAAAACCTAAGTGCTGCAAGCCAAATATGTTACATTCTCTCATGTCGACCACAGATCACGCAGTATCTATTCCATACAAGTATTCATCAACATGTGTCGAGGTAAAAGTACGGCTATTCGTGTCAGAGACAAAGAGACACAATTTGATTTTGAATTGTTTATTGATTGGACCAGGGGTCTCTTAGTGCAGGTTCTCAAATCAAGAAGGGGTCCGGGTTACAGGCACACGATGGACATCCATTAGTTGACGGTTTCATCCCGAACGGGCAGTAGATACCACAAGCGAGCAGCAGACAAGCTGGGATGCGCTTACCTGGCAGGTGAGTGAGACAACAAAGAAATGACTAAGTGTAATCTTGTAAACAAAGCATGTGTTCAACCTGTTAACACAATTGTTTGACCTGTTAACATAATGTGTTTGACCTGTTAACATAATGTGTTTGACCTGTTAACGTAATGTGTTTGACCTGTTAACGTAATGTGTTTGACCTGTTGACATAATGTGTTTGACCTGTTGACATAATGTGTTTGACCTGTTGACATAATGTGCTTGACCTGTTGACATAATGTGTTTGACCTGTTGACATAATGTGCTTGACCTGTTAACGTAATGTGTTTGACCTGTTAACATAATGTGTTTGACCTGTTAACGTAATGTGTTTGACCTGTTAACATAATGTGTTTGACCTGTTAACGTAATGTGTTTGACCTGTTGACATAATGTGTTTGACCTGTTGACATAATGTGTTTGACCTGTTGACATAATGTGCTTGACCTGTTAGCATAATATGTTTGACTTCTTGACATAATATGTTTAAAAACGCTTGTAACTATACACTCCTTTACTAAGTATTGTTGTTTCATGTGTTATACGTAGTTGTGTTTTGATAGTATGGAGGGAGCCCAACTGGAATTATGAAAACAACGTTGTACTTTCATACAAATAATATCAGTGAGCACTGCCAATTTAATCCATTAATTCGTTTTCAATGACTGGCCATTAACTTACCTAGTTTCGGCTGACAGGTGTGACCGCATCCGTTGGACCGGCACTCAAACCCAGCCGGACATTCGTCTAACTGCCGGACAGCCCGGATGATGAGGTTGTTGCTGCAGCCCTCCTCGCAAGTACCAATCAGCCCGATTTGACCCAGCAGGCTGACAGCAGCACAAGATGCTGAAGGAGAAATACGACTAGTTTATGTGACATCTCATGGCCGCCCAATGGCGCGATCAGACAATTATGGAGAAGAATTATTAACTAGCTGATAAACCCGGTCTTCCCGGGGCTACACAGACACAGTTCTAACATAAAAGCCTGGTCCGTAAGATGTCATATACTTTATTACTGTAGTATTGCCATATAACAATCCTTAACGACTAAAAATCGTTTGATGAGACTGGTTTATATAGTGGAGCAGTCAACACTGAAAGGGGCGGCTAACCTTTTAAAAGTTGTATCATTTATTATAGGAAATTAAATAAACAATCACGTTTTAAAAAAAAATTTGAAATGATTTGAGTAGCCCAGGGGTAGAGTTCATTCCACAAATTGCTCGTTTGGTTTAAACCCCGACAGAATCCTTTATTTAAGATAAACTTTCAAAGTTTGTAAATCAGTTTGGTGGTCCCGAGTTGAGCCCAGTCCACAAGTTGCCATTTAATTCATCACATAAAGTCTGGCTGCTTTTAGTTACTTCATATTGATATTTAAGTAAATATGTCATAGCGGCGATTCGTTCCACAGGGAGCCATCGTTTTAGCTCAAAAAATGAACTCTGTCAATCAATAAATAACCATATCACAGGCTATAGTTTGACAGAAGATTTACACATGTTTTCAGACATGACACTGTAGTCTCCTCCACGCAAGCATCAAACATAATATTTCTCTAGGTATGGCTCTATGGCTGTATGGCTGTAACACTATGTTAAATAGGCACGTAAAGTAAAATTCCTAGAAGTGAGCACTAATTTAGATTATTATAATGGGCGTTACTTGAATGCGTGTTTTGTCAAGTAAATGAAGTAGATGGGAGGTCCATGCAGTGCCGCCGCCACTGTTTGCCGTGTTATTTCTTGTATCTACATTGCTCTTTAAAATATATTCATTTCATGACATGTGTTCAAGGATTTATAACATGAGACGTGTTCAATTATTTATTACATAACATGTGATCAAGCATTATCATACAAGAGAGGTGGCATTCATTTAAAACACCAATAAATAAGGCGACCAGATCATGAACAAAAAAACCCTATCCATAATGTGAACTTATACTTAACTTTAAATGAACTCACCGATAAAAAAGGATAAGAACAAGACAATTATGGAAGACTTCATTTTTGAATGATGAGATTGAATTCTAGTTACTAAGAGGTTAGCCGACAGCCCATTAAAACTAAGGCCTTTTATAGCATAATCTGTATGTTTTTTTTGTTTTTGTTTTGTTTTTCTAAAAGATAACGAAATCGTTTTGTTAGAAGATAAAAAGAATGTGTAACATTAAAATGTATCAATGATAATTTGTGTCAGCTAAAAAAATTGGTCACCAATACATTCACGCAATACATTCAACACCATATCGATAGCTTTGCGTTTTTTTTTTTTTTTTTGCGGAAACTGCATTGACTTTCCGGTAGGAGACCTAGCTCCAGATGTGCATTCAGGCGGTTCAGAAGGGCTCGGGCCAAGATCTTGACTGCGATGGACAGTAGTGAAATTCCGCGGTGATGGTCGCAGGGCTAGCGGTTTCCTTTGTGTTTTTACAGGTGGATAATCGAGGCATCCTTGAGTTTCATGGTACTGTTTCCGTCTGTCAGATGACCTTGAATAGACGCAATAGCTCATCCGTCAACGCTAGTCCACTCTCTTTGTAGATTTTGGCAGCAATCATGTTGGAGCCAGGTACTTTGCCATTGGAAAGTTGGTGGATTGCTATCTGTATCTCGACAAAAGTTGGGACAGCGTCCAGTGATCTGTTCATTGGGATCTGTTGCAGTCTTTCAACGGTCTTATCATTAAGATGGAAGGCGTATTGAGCACACTATCAAAGCGTTCCACCCATATTTCCATCATTTTCTCCTTGTCTGTGATGACCGTAGAACCGTCTGCAATAAGGAGAGGGGAAGAGCCTGAGGTGTTAAATGCATAGATTTCTCTCAGGCCACAGTGGAAGTTTTCATGATGTATAGTACTGCCATTTATATGACATATTGGCTACGTGATATATCATTTTGTTACATAAGCTTTTCTTTATTTGATATGTCATCTTGTTTCAAATTGTTCTATTCAACATTTAATATGTCATCTTGTTTCAATTGTTCTATTCAACATTTAATATGTCATCTTGTTTCAATTGTTCTATTCAACATTTAATATGTCATCTTGTTTCAATTGTTCTATTCAACATTTAATATGTCATCTTGTTTCAATTGTTCTATTCAACATTTAATATGTCATCTTGTTTCAATTGTTCTATTCAACATTTAATGTCATCTTGTTTCAATTGTTCTATTCAACATTTAATATGTCATCTTGTTTCAATTGTTCTATTCAACATTTAATATGTCATCTTGTTTCAATTGTTCTATTCAACATTTAATATGCCATCTCGTAATATGAACTATCTGTTATGGTAAAATTTATCTTGTAATCTGAATGATTCGTTATGTTATGATTAAACTTGTTATTTAAAATAGTCATATGTTGTGTTGTATAATAACTTCTCTTACAACTAGATATTCTCAAACACCATACAGTTTCTCGTCAAGGCTATTAAATACCCCCGACTGCCCCTCACTCCGGACTGCCCACACCCCAACTGTCCCCCACCCTGACTGCCCCCAACCCCGACTGCCCTATTCAGGACAGAAGTCTTCATAAGTGAAATGTCAATAACTGTGTGTTCTTTCTTATCTCAAAAAGATTATTGTTCATGAACAACTTTGCATGTACAACAGCTGCTGACAATACAACATTCAGCGAACCAGGCTTAAACAAAATTGACTGAATAATGATATCATTATTGTTTTAGAAATTATAGCTCATTACCATGAGATCTTCAATGATATTTGAAATTTATTGATATACATATGTATATGTATGTATGTATATACTAGCTGAATTACCCGTTCTTCGCTCGGGTGGGGGGATTTTTATTTGCACCTGTTAATTTTACGTGGAGATAGGGTTTCTGAGTGACAATAATTATTGCACACATTTTCAAGTTAAGTCTTTGAGAAGTCAAAACTCCAGGTGAAAGGTAGTTCAAAAACTCCATTGGATAATTTGCTTCCTCCTCTGTAATTGCAGTGTTTTGATAAATAGAGTATGTGCTGATATAGCATTTCAATTCAGAATAAATTCGTCTAAAGGCATTTTCATTATGTTTGGTGACTCGCGGTGTTTAGGAGTCAGCATTGAGCGTCACTTAAATGGATGACCTCAGGACAGACAGCATCCAAAACTACATCCATTTTCAATGTAGACTAGAGGCATTTCGAATATGCCTTCCTCTAATCCAGGCTCTTTCAATTTCCCATTCCCATGTTTTAAAAGCCAATCGGAAAAGCTTCGATGTTGTCCTCACTGACACGAACGTTTTGGTCTTAAAGTGAATAGTCTTCATGCTTCAAGGTGGTATGTCGAGAGTGCTGCCATTTCAAAGAACAGGAAGAATTTTGTCTTAAATCTCCAGCGAAAAGAAAGACGGCACATTTAAATGATTTTTAGAATGAACCTTTGATTGTCGGCTATGAGTTCGTTATAAAGTGTTTCAACTGCATTTACTCCATGTGCTGGGGCCATTGAAGTCTCATCCCAGGTTATTACTTTGGATTTTTTCAGTTCATTTGTTGTGTTAGTCCCATGTGGAACTCTAAAGTTTGATGTTTCATTTATTGGAAAAGGCAGCTTGAAACGACTGCGGGAAGTTTTGCCCCCCTCAAGCAAAATAGTTGCCTAGCTTGTGAAGGTGGCATGAAAAGACTCATTAATTTTTACTAGCACATATTGCATGATTGTGTTGTAAAGGAAGGGTTTACCCCTGGGTCAAGACTCGCGTTTGGCTAAGTTAGGGTTTTCATTTGCTTCTCTGATTTCGTTGTAAGCCCTTCTTTGCCCTGGATTGAGCATTTCAATTTTTTTTCCGAATATCTTTTGTTTCATAATTGGATCGTTATTTTCAAATATGAATTTGCTCGCTCTAGTTCCGTTTGCAAATGCTAGGCCAAGGTCTGCCAATGACTTTTCATTTGTTTTATGAACCAAATCAGTTTATTTAAGCGTGAAATATTGAGCTTTTCCCCCTTCCTCCAAAGCATCTCTTATAGTCTTCCATAAAATTGTCCTATGTCAGTCGCTTAATGCTGATGTATCTGAAGGCTCACACATTATTTAAATAAATGCAAAAAAATGTCTATGTGGTACTGGATTAAACCTTGCAATTTGTGCTTCTTGAAAAATGCAGAAGGGAATAGGATTTTCTTCGACTTTCCTTAGGTCGTCGAAAGATGTTGCTTCTCTAAGACTGAGAGGGAGAATTGGGGGGGGGGGAAGATTTTCACTATCCATTGGACTTACGGTAAACATTCTGCCCGTTGTTATCCTATGTTCTCTAAAACGTTGAAAACTTGCTTGAATTATTCTCATCACAGGCATAGTGTTCGTGAATTTCAATCAATGATTTATCTCTGGCAATGGGGTCTTCTTCAGTTGAAACAAATAAAGAAATTTGGACTTGGTGGCTCTTTGCTGTACAGTTTTAGTTTCCTAGCCTTGTGTAAAAAAAATATTGTATACTTGTCCTCAAGGTTGACATTTAATGTGTACACATGATCAGTTTGGTGGCACATTTTGTATTCACGTCACTGAGCATCCAGCGTGCTTCATGTGCACTTAAATATCGGGTCTCAAAGTAACTTTTTTTTCATTCCACTTTATAACTGATTAATTGCATAGTCATGCCATGTAAAGGTATTTAAAATGGTATTTAACGCTTAAAATTGAGCTATAAATCACTACGTTAATGTAAGCGTTATAGTTCAGAGACAGGTACATGTTGTATCTGTTACCATCATTTTGGCGTTGATATGTTGGTTACAAATGAACTTTTATGTCGGTTTCGGCACAGAAAGATTTTACTGTTGTGTATTTATCCAGAAGTCAGAATAAAAACAAAAAAAAAGTGTAGAAAGAAAAAGAGGGAATGGGAAAAAGATAAACTAAAGTAAATAGAAGATTTATCAAGGGAGGGAAATTTAAGAGGAATGTACATGAAGATAAAAGATGAAAAGAATGGATACCAAGCCAGACCGCAAATGTGTGAGAGCCACAATGGAGAATTTAGCACGGAAGATAGTAAAGTATTGGACAGGTGGGCTGAATATTTTGAGGACATACTGAATGCAGACAATAGACAAGAAGAAGATTATCAATCCCCACAGGGAGGACTAGACCCGTTTATACAATGCCCAACTCCAGAAGAAACTAAAGAGGTAATAAATTATAAGAAAAATCACAAGGCCCCCAGACAAGACCTAATGACAGCAAAACTGATTAAATATGGAGGAAAAGAACTACATACATAAACTTATAACTAAAATTTGGCAGGAAGAGAAAACCCTAACAGAATAGGAAACAGCATTAATAACCCCAATACACAAGAAAGGCTCCAAACTTCAGTGCAAAAACTACAGAGGAATCTCCCAGTTAAATGTTACATACAAATACTGACGAAACTTATTGCCAAAAGACTACAACCTTACACTGAAGAAATACTAGTTGAATACCATTGTGGATTCAGGCCTAACAGATCAATGACTGATCAGATTTTCACAATCAGATGCCTATTAGAGAAATGCTATAAATGTAATATACCAGTACATCAACTCTATGTGGACTATAACATGAACTATGACAGCATCAAAAGAAACTATATATATGAGACTTTGCAGGAGTTTGGGATACCCAACAAACTGACAAGACTAATACATGTAACACTAAACAACTCAAAAAGCAAAATCAAGATTCAAGGAGAATATTCAATGTAATTTCATATTAGACGAGGTTTAAGACAAGGAGACTCCTATCTTGTATGATTTTTAACCTAACATTAGAGAGAGTTATTAGAATAATAGAATAATTCCTCGAGTGTTAATGTGTATAACGATAACAGTATACTTTCTGAGGGAAACTCAAGACCCACAACCATCGGGCACACTCTACAACCAACCACTTCAGTAACTTGCATGTGCTGATGACATAGCACTGCTAGGGAAAAGTATAAAAGACATATCAAAATCCTTTATTGAATTAGAAGACGCATCTTTACAAGCAGGGCTGGAAGTTAACAACCAAAAAACAAAATACATGACCATGATAAGAGAGGAAAAACAGATGAAGCAATTACATTTAGAAAG